CAAACATTTTTTAAAAAGACATCTCATTTTGCAAAATAAAAACCAAACTGCTTTTAAAATCCATTGAAAATACTTTTCAATAAACCCACATGCATTTAAAAGGCACATGGTTGTTCTGTCCACCACCACCCCGCCCCCACCCCTGCCATGTGTGTTTGGGCCTTCAGGTTAAAGAACAAGCAAACACGTTAAGTTAGGATTACCCCCAAATCCCTATACAACCTGTGCAATACCTGAAGGTTGTTTTTTTTTTAATTTAACAGTATTAAGCACATCTATAGTTAAAATGGTTTTTACCTTGGCCTGGTGGTGAAATGCAGCTTAAAGTTCCTGGTTCCATGCTAACCAGATCACACTGCAATAAAGCCAGGCATCGTTATTTACTAAGACAGCATGGCCAAAGAATGGCATTATAGAATATCTATTTTCAGAGTTGAAAACAGGGCGCATACCTCCTCTTGCAGTCCAGCAGCAATTCAAGAGTGTTTCTGTTGGAAGAGACAGGCTCCAAGCTCCCTGAGGTTTTTATACCATCCTAACTCTTTGTTTCAAAATAGTCAGCAGGTTGATTGGCTCACCCCTCCCTAGCATTCCCTTTTGTGGTCTGGGCTGGGGGAGTAAGTTGTCTGCACAACTGGGCTGCTTTTCTTTTCTTTTAGTTCAAATACATTTTTCTGTAGGGCCTCTTACAGTGCCCATTCCAAGTGGGGGCCCTTTGCAGATCTCAATGAATGTCTTGGGGTTGTTTTTTATCAAGGTCCCCCCGGCGCTAAATGTTCTTGGGTTAGGCACAGGCATTGCATAGCATAACCTATGGCAATAACAGTGTTTAATAGGATTTCCAAACACAGCTCAGCACACAGGCCCCGGAGCTTGCAGTTTATATCCACTGAAGTCCAAGTCACACAGTCATGGTGCCGTTGGGCTGGCGCAGCTATGACACAGCCCTCACAATCTTCAAAAAGCTTTTCCCTAAGGCAGTGATTAAGGACAGCATAAACAGCAACGCGTACAATAGTCCGCAGGACTTTTTTTATGCTCACGACGTGGCACTGGCTCAGTTAGTTCCATGCCAAGCCTCCTCCTAAACTCCTCATAGCCATCATCCTCGGAGTCCTCTTCAACAATTTGTATCGGCGTTGAGCAGAACCAAGGTGGGCCCAGTTCATCTTCGCTGCTTGATGCAACGCTGCCCAGGGCCTCCTGCTCCTCTAGAAAGGCATTGTCGAGCTGTCGAGAGATTTTCAGAAAAGAAACAGTGTAAATTCCCACTGCTTGTTTTTAAATTTACACAACCCCCCCGCCCCCCGGTTCCTAACCCCATTACACCCCATCATCAACCATCACTTCTTAATAATTCATTTACCTGAGCGACGTCTTGTCCATTCACCTTGTCCTCCAGTGACTCCCCTGAGCTGTGTCCGCCTTCCTCCTCCATGGGGGTGGACGACAAGAGGCCACCACACTCATCGGGGTGTCTCGCAAGCAGTTGGGTTTCGGGTTCCGGTGTATCCATCAAGGT